AAAAAAAAAAAAAAAAAAAGTTTCTCCTAGTATAATTGGTATGATTTTAAAATTATAGTCTTTCCAGAAAAATGTGGCTGCCGGTGCCTCCTTGGGGCTTCTGCGGAGTAGAGCTTTTATGAGGTATGCTTCATAACAGACCAAAAGCCACATACTGTAAACTGGGTTTTGTTTGGCTTTGTGTTCTTCAGGACTCATCATTGTCATTTATTCTCCCCACTAATTTTATAATACTGGGTGGTAAACTTACCATATTCTGGCTGCTCTTTGGTTTCAAAAGTCCGGTGGCCTGGGGCCGGACGGTCCCACCCCCTGGGAGGGTTGAGGAAGTTGCTGTCATCTGAGGTACTATCATACTTGTAGTCCTGATCCCCGCTGTTCACCCTTGCCAAGGACAAGGACCTCTGCCACCAGGGCCGCCAGTCAGGGGATGGAACTGACCAGCTGGGTTTATTCTCTGGATGCTGGTCTTTATCTGCTTCAGAGTCAGGACCGTCGACCACTTCTATGGTGACCTGAAGAATTCAGAACATGCTAGGGTTAATGAGAAGCCAACAACATCCAAGCTGTACAATCCTTGCAAGAAAGTCTGCCAGAGGAGAGTGAATAATGGATGTATTCCTTCTAAAGGAGAGTGAAGTTTACCTGGTTACACAGAATGGGAGTGTACAGGGATGGTTCAAATGACTTCCATGATTAGACAGAACTAATGTAACTGGGCCTTGGGATATTCTGTCATCAGGGTTGCTGATTTACTGTTGACGAAGTCATTGGGAAGCCTACAATTCAAGGAGTAAATATGTACTATATATACTTGGAAATGACAATGAATATTACTAATAAAATCCAGCATTTATTGATGAACTCTGTACCAATCACTCAGTGTTCTACATATATTCATTTATTTCATCCTTACAATAACCTTATAAAGTTGGTACTATGATTATTTCCAATGATCAGTTATCCTCATTAGTAATTCCTTTCATCCTTGTATGTGCATGCTACTCTTCCCACCAAGAGATTGTCTGTCTCTAATCTGGGCTGTCCCTGTGACTTGCTTTGCCCAATAGGATGTGGTGGGAGTGATACTGGATGACACATCTTATAAACCCGCATGGCTTCCATTTTCAATCTCTTGGAAAGTTCTTATTTGGCATGTAAGGAAGCCCAGATGAGGCTACTGTACACACATACAGAGAGGCTACCTGGATAAGAACTGGAGCACAATCAATGGCCAGCTCCAATTCCTTAGTATAAATGGGGTCATTCTGTGTCTTCCAGCCCCACGTGGGTCAGAGACATGCTCTCCTAGCTGAGCCCTGCATAAATTCCTGACCCACAAAATTGTGAGCAATCAAGCAGTCATTGCTTCAGACAATTACATTTTGGTGTGGTTGTTAGCTATAGATAGTTTGTTACAAGAAAACTGGGTTGCAGAAATGTTGGAAACTCTTTTAAGGTCACAGAGCTGGTGAGTGGAAGACTCAGGTAGCCTGGTACATGCTCTTACCAATTTTGTTACTCTGCTTTTCAAAAGGTAAAAATAGAGATATTGTTCTCTTATGAAACCAAGGGAACAAATGGCCACAGAAGCATTTCATGTGAGGATGGCACATGACTGGGCAGTGTTTCGTTCTGTTGTACCTAAAGTCACTATGACTCGGAACTGACTTGAAGTCACTAACACCAACAATGTAAACATATGTTCCTCAAGATCCAGGTTTTCATAGCTATGATTTTCACTCATCACAGACCAAGCCAGACCCAGAATCATGAACTCCTTCACTGGACTCTCAGGGTCAGAGCAGATAGTCCCAAAGCCAAGGTTAGAACTTGCTCTCAGATTTATGAAGTCTAATTTTAAAGTCTATCACGTGGTTGAAAGAATGCAGCTTCTTGGCTCTGAGAGACAATCAACTCAGAGAAACTTGTTTAAAAAATATAATAAAAGACTTATTGGGCTCATTTGGCCATCACATAGCTCTTGCAATACCCCTGGATGAGTTATGTGTAAATGAATCAGAAACACGCGCTCCAAGTAATCAGCGCAAGATGTACTGGGCAGATGTATTTCCAGTTTTGCCCCAACCCGACATCTGAGAGTTGTTGAGATGCTCTGCCAAATTGCATGGGGAGTGCCCATCCCTGAGACAAACAGCCCCTTCCCTTGTGCTAGAAATGGAGAACTTGTAATCCTGCTTACTTTGACATTCAAAAAAGTCACCACCCCATTGATGTTGGGTCCAGGCTGTTGTTTTTTGTGGTCTAGATCAAGGTCAAGTGTGTGGCCTTTGATCCCAGAGTATACTCATCAGAACACAGCGACCAAGCACATTGTAAATTCTCTAGTGTGCAATGCCTACAACAGTAGTACTAAACTTTATCCCATGCCACCACCACTGTCTCAGTCTGGTAAACATCCCTTACAAAATTTTAAAAAAGTTACAGAACTTCTTAGTAATTCCTCCCAAAGAAAAATGGCCAGAGAGCAAAGGAATGGTCTTGTATCATTGTTGTTTGCTGGAATGAATGGTCATTGCAGAGACATGGTGACTGGCTCTCCTTTGCAACCCTGGATGGACAAGTGTAGGAGTGCTCAGCTTGGCAATGACAAGGCATTTGTCATTGAGTTTTTGAAGATAGTATCCTTCCTCTCTGCAGGCTGGCTCCCCTCTGCCTGCAGAAAGAACAACTGAGCTACAATAATTGTCTGCAAAGCTATTAAGGGTCTCTGAGGAGAGAGGTTGTCAAGAGCCAGGCAAGCCTGCAATTATGGTAATGAAATCAGTCTCTGGGTAGGAGATAAGGGGAATTCGCCCAAGTTTTGGTATTCCATTTGTATTCAGACTGGAGTCAAAGGGATTGCCTAAACAAAACATGCCCTGCAATTTCTCCAACCTGGGAATAAAAACAATTTCATGTTTTAAGCTGTTACCGTCAATACGATTTTTTTCAAACTGCTGCTCAGATCCAAACAAAATAGATTTGTTGCCTGGCCAGGCAATGAGTAGCAAAATATGAATTTACTCCAAAAGCTATATCAATGACTAAATCTCAACAGCTTAGAGGGTGTGTTTTTTTCCGCTTGAATTTTTAGCCACTGCCCCAACTGAATTAAAACAAAGCAAAACAAAACCTTAGCATTCACCCTTCCCTAGAATTAACAATGTGGGGACCTTAAACTGATATCAAAAGAAGAAATCTTATCTTGAACCTTAAGTTTCATAGGCATCCAATTAACAAGACTTAATAATGAGTATGATCAATGACTTCTAAAATGATGGTGATTAGTTTATTTCCTGTTGCTCTCACTCTAGTTTCACGTTCTTCAAAGTCAAGGAATTGTTTTCTAATGATGTATTGAATGTTAATCATCATGATACACTGAAGGAGAGTGAGCTCAATAGAGTTCCCAAATGAAGAATACTCTAGATTTTACATGTGTTCTCATACTTGGTGGTGATGATGGTTATGTGCCATGGAGTCAGGTCCAAGTCATAGTGACCCTGCATAGGGTTTCCGAGGCTGTAAATCTTTACGGGAGCAGAAAGCCTCATCTTTCTCCCTCCGAACATCTGATAGTTTCAAACTGCTGACCTTGAAGTTAGCAACCCAACTTGTAACCCCTACACTACCAGAGCTCTGTTCTCATACTTGTTGTTGTTGTTAAGTGCCATCAAGTTGATTCCAACCCATAGCAACCCTGTATAGGGTTTCCAAGGAGCAGCTGGTGAGCTTGAACTACCGACCTTGCTGTTCAAACGACTTTGTAGTCTGACGCATTAGCCCACAGCGCCACACCAGGACATATAATTGAAGCATCTTAACATACTTGATTTGTCCAGACTTTTCAACACTATGTATAAAGACAGTGAAAGAACAGGGACTCTTTTAAAGCCTCAAGTCCAAGTTTTGGCAAAGTTTTCTCAGCCCCAAGAAAGAAAGTCCAAAATTGGTGCCAATTTGGTGAATTTTGTCCAAAATCATGAAATGAGGATAAGATCCTTTGTAATTTTACTGGCTTCTTTTGAAATTGAGACATTTATTGGGAACAAACTCTTCACTCTTTTCTGAGAAGTATTTTTCATAGGGAAATGAATGTAATTCTCATTGTAGCTATAATAAACTCATGGCAGCAAGAAAATGCAAGCCATGAATGTCCCTCAGAAGACCCCTAAGTGCTTGTGAGTGGTGGGTGTTGGCTGGTATTTCCCAAAGAAGAAAATTAGTGCCAATAGGTGAAGTGAATTTCTCAAGAGCATACAGCCTCCTGGACTGCAAACCAGTCTCCTGATAAGATTTTGGCCTCAGATTATACTATCCCTTCTTCCCTGACAATTGGAAAAGGAAGATGGAACCCCTTTCTCTCAGGACTACCAACAGTGGCAACCACAACTAACTGTGATTTGAGACTAGCAACATGCTTTCCTAAAACAGGTTTGCTTTTTCAACACAAATGAGTCCCAGTTTTCAGGTATAGTAACTAGACTGGATAATTCAAGTTCCCAAGGAAGATATAAAATCTCAAAACTAGGTCTTATAATTCTATTATTTTCTATATGTTTCCTCTGTCATCTTTTCCCTCATAATTCTCATCTACCTATATCTATAAGTTTGGGGAAGCTTATCTTGTTCCTCACTACCTTCACAACATTCTTATCAATGGAGAAAAGATTGAAGTTGTCAACGACTTAATTCTTGGATCAACTATCAACACTCATGGAAGCATCAGTCAAGAAATCAAATGATATATTGCGTTAGGCAAATCTGCTGCATAGGAACTTTTTATAGTGTTGGAGAGCAAAGATGTCAGCTTGAAGACTAAGGTGCGCCTGACCCAAGCCATAGTATTTTCAATAACCTCATATGCATGTGAAAGCTGGACAGTGATTAAGGAAGACCATAGAAGAATTGATGCCTTTGAGTTATGGTGTTGGAGGAGAATATTGAAAGTGCCATGGGCTGCCAAAAGAACCAACAGATCTGTGTTGGAAGAAGAGCAGCCAGAGTGCTCCTTGGAGGCCAAGATGGCCAAACTTCGCCTATCATACTTCGGACATATTGTTAAGAGGGACCAGTTTCTGGAGAAGGATATCATGTTTGGTAAGGTGGAGGGTCAGAGAAAAAGAGGAAGATCCCCAGAGAGATGGATTGGCAAAGTGGCAGCATTAATGGGCTCAAACGTGACAACAATTGTGAGGTTGACCCAGGACCGGGCAGTGTTTCATTGTGTTGTACACAGCGTCACTATGAGTTGGTACCAACTCGATGGCACCTAACAACAACAACCTTGTTCCTGACCCTGTCCTAAATAGTAACCATCTCCTTGAATCCTCATAGATTACCATCCACGTGGTAGTATGTCCATTCTAGGGTGGTCCTGTGTGGCTCAAACAATTACGTGTTTGAGTACTAACTGTACTTCAAACCTACCTAGAAGTATTTCAGAAGGCTTGATGTTATGCTTCTGAAAGGTCACAGCCTTAACACCTAACAGAGCACAGCTCCACTTTGC